AGCGTGGCGTAAAAGTCCATGATGCGGCAGTGCAGCTTCTTGTTACGAGATTTGCGGAGCAGTGGGCCCAGCAGGTAGTAGATACCACGAGACGAGCGTGCGACGCGGTCCATGGCCTGGAGACTCATGGGATGCGCTTCCTCATGGGCCATGGCGAGTAGATGCGCAATGAGCACATCCGTGGAGCACTGGGCAATGGTGTAGTACGCCGCGAGCGTCCAGCACGAGCCACTCACCGCCGAGCACCAGGTCGTGCACTGCCATAGACCCGTGTTCTCCGCCTCTTTGATGAAACCGGCGTATCCAAACATGGCGCGATACCCGCCGCCCGAACCGCCCATGGCAATGAGCGGTACATCGTCGGGGTGCACATACTCACCCTCAGGCAGCTGCAAGAATTGAGCGAGGGCATTGGTTCCCTCCGACGACATGAGGCGCCGCCGCTCCTCAATCGCAGCCTGCTCGTCGGCGTGCAGATCCGAGGAGCAGCGCACCTGGGCGTCCCACTCTAGCTCTGGGAACGTCTCCACGTCCTCGTCGTCCACGGCCACGAGGCGCCGCAGATGCGACATGTCATACCACCGGAGGCGCCACCGCTCTAGTATGGGAATGCGCGGCAGGCGCACCGGTGGCGGCAGCGACAGGGGGATCTGAGGGGGTGGAAACAAGAAGGGAAAGCGGCGTTCCTGCCACCAGGCACCCAGCGAGTGTGGCATTGTGAATGCCTGGCCCTCACTCGCCTCATTTCGGCTCTCACGCCGCGTTGCACTGGCCAGCAGCGCCTGCATTCGGCCCCACGATGACATGCCATGGCCGCCCTCGGTGGATTCGTACCAGGTCCACGGGCCATTGGCGTTTAGGCGCGAAGACAGCGGCCGCGCCGCAAAGAGCGTCACTAGCGTACATATCAAATAACACTTTAAAAACAGGTAGCTCGGGGACGAGCGAATCCTGTGTACCAGGCCCATCGCCGCGCGCCCACCGAGCAACCGGTCGAGGCAGCGAGCGGCCAGGGGCACGCACCCCACCAGCTGCTGGCCACGTGGCTAAAAACCTAAGGCGTGCATATGCCACGGCAGGTCCTCGTCCTCGAGGTCAGTGCGCGCCTCCACATCGCCCTGCCCCAACCGCTGGTGCAGGCGGGCGAGGGCCCAATGGTAGAGCTCAGGCGCCGCCCCCGGCACCGACACCATCGTGGAAGTAAGCGAGTAGCTCGTCACTGCTGTGCTCGATTCTGACTCGGCTGCTTCCTTGGCCGCCGCCTCCGCTTCCGCCTCCGCCTCGGTGGCCATCTTTTCTGCGACGCCGGTCGGGACAGACAAAGTCGGTATGGCGGGCAGCTGCGCCTCGTACGATGCAAGTTTCGCATCCATCGTGCTGGGGTCCGCCTCCAAGACGCAGGCTCGTGCTGCACGCACGCGCTTCCTGGCCTCTTGAATTTGCTCCGTGAGCTCCTCGCCATAGGTGTACAGGTACTTTTCGCGGGCCTTGGATACGCGAATCTCTTCCTGCACAAAAGCCATCCCATGCTGCACCTGGGAAAACATCTTTTCGATAGCTTTTTGCATGCCGTCACGGTCCAGTGAGTCATCACGCTTGCCAGGCAGGCGCGTCAGGTCGATCATGTGGATCGTCTGCGCGCTGTGTACCATGGTCTGGCGCATGCGCGCCTTGGCCATCCACGTATAAAAGTCACCCAGTTCGCTCTTGATCTGCAAAAAGAGGGGCATAGCCAGCCTGGTCATCTTGGGCGCACTCGCAGGGAGCACACGATCGCGACTGTCATTGGCGATGCCCAGGCGAATGGACAACTGCAGCACATCGCGCACAATCTTCTGGGTACGCCTCATGCGGGATTCTGCCTCGACCAAGGCAGTGCGTGCGCGCTTCTCGCGCTGGCTCTCGAGGGGCACCAGCTTTTTGACCAGGAGGAGCACGTCGACCTCCTGCGCGAGTCGGTCCAGCACAGGAAAAGACGCGCCGTGCGGAAATAGGCGCGCTCCCAGGGCATCCACCTGTGCCTCGAGCGACTGCATCTCGATTTGTTGCCGCATCAGGTCCGTGCGCACCTTCTCTAGGCGCTGATGTGCATTCTTTGCCTCGTCCAGCAACTGCGAGGTGCGGTCCACTTCTGCATCTGTCTTTGCTGCTGCCTCTGCTTCCGCTATGCACCGCAGGGACCGCTTTGAGCCTTTGGGAGCCAGGCGCGTGAGCAGCTGTTTCCGTAGGCGCGCCAACTCTTGGTGCTGTGATGCCCTGCGTGAGTCGACTAGGGACGTACGCTGTCTTTCTTAGTCGCGTCTGTGCCTCTGTACGCGACTGGATCAAGCCCATCATCAGCCGCAGCTCCTGCCTCGTAGCCTCCAGCCTAGGTGGCACGGCCTCCTGTGCGGCCCACCGGTCTGGCGTGAGTGTGCAACACGTACGGTAGAGTCGGAGGTATTGCGACCTAGCCTCTTCGTTCTCTGCAGTCGTCCGCACTCCTGGCGTCAACGTCGACGTCGACGAGAGCGATAGGGTGTCGGGCGCTGCGATCGGCCTCGGCCCGACGATCGGCATGGATCGAGGGCCAAGTGGAGTGGAGCGGTGGCGCTCCGCGTGCGACGACGACGAGCATGAACGACGAGGCGGCCCGCACGGCGGGCGTCGACGGAGGCACCGTATATCGCTACCAGCAAGAAATCGCCCAGATGGTACGTATACGCATCTGATGGAAGATGTTTGTGTCGACCGAGATTGATAACCCGGATCCGCGGGTGACGCGCCTTATCGAAGACATTGTGCGGAACCAGGTGATTGAGATGGTACGCCGCTTTTCTCACGTCAGATTATCCAGTCGCGGCGTATTGCACAGCGGCGGCAGTCCAAGTACTTGGCGCCCGAGGATCTCATATTTCTGATCCGGTACGATCGGGCCAAGGTGAATCGCCTGCGCACCTACTTGAGCTGGAAGGATGTGCGTAAGAACGCCAAGGACAGCGGCGGCGATACCGGTGGCCCGGGAGGAGGAGCTGGCGATGGAGATGGAATCGATGAGGCAGGCGATGATAGTCCGCTTCGAGTGAACAAGCGCAAGATGCGCCTGCCCTGGGACCTAGGCTCGGTGTTTAGCGATTATCCCCGGGTGGCCGGCGCACCGGCCGATGATGCAGACGAGGACGACGAAGATACCATCGAGACGAACGAAGATTCCCTGCGACGTCTCAAAGCGGCCGACGAGACCACGCGAAAAATGACAAGAGAAGAGTATGTGTTCTACTCCGAGTGCCGCCAAGCCTCGTTCACATTCCGCAAGGCCAAGCGCTTCCGAGAGTTTATCCATGCCAGTATGTACTTGGATGTGAAGCCAAGCGACGACACTATCGATATCCTTGGTTTCCTTGCCTTTGAGGTTGTGCATGAGCTATGTACGCGTGCTATGAAGATCAAGTGGGACTGGGACGAGCGCGCGCGCGCCGTGCGCAAGCAGCACGAGGACACAGAAAAAAGCTCGCTGGAGCGCGAGGCAGCCTGTACGCTATTCAGCTTTCCTCCGAATATCGAGTCGCCGCTCGAGGCATGGCACATTCGCGAAGCATTCCTCGCCCTCCAGCGCGAGAATATATTCATGGAGTTGGGGCGCGGCACGGCAGGTCCGGCCGGCGGACTTCGGCGCACGCAAGTGTTTGTTATTTAAGACGGCTCGGCCGCTTCGTACCGTCGACGCATGGTTTCGTGCCCTTGCGCCTGGTACCGCGCGTTTGTCGCGCCCTGTGCATACGTCTCAGCATCCAGCAGGCCTGTACTGCCGAGGCCTGCACGACCTGAGGCGACGCGTGGCACCACGGGCGCCTGAACGGGCATCGCGGCTCCGCCCTCTTGAGCCATTTTCTGAAGCAGTTGGTAGCCCACATGATCGGTACCCAGCGGCTGCGCTGGTACGGACGTGGGCGGTGTCGGCGCTGTTGCCGTTGCTGCTGGCGGTGGTGCCTGCGTGGCCGCAGAGGCTGGCTGCTTGATGCGTCGAAGCGCGGCCCGGTCACGATACGCTTGAGCTACTGGCTTGGGCGCTCGACCGGTGGAGTGAGCAGGAGGAAAATAGGCCCTTTTTAGTTGGTGCAGGCGTTTGCGCCCATCGGCTTGCACCTGGTGACGGCCCTCACTGGGTGGCTGCGATACGGAGGAGGACGCTCGAGACGCTGTGTTGGACGTTTGTGAACTGGCCAGGGGCGCTAGGGAGATTTCATTGAGGCCATCGGCGCTAATAGCGCACCTGTCACACACGTCCCAGGCGGTGCCATGGAGATGGACTTCAAATATGGTGCTTTGTAGGCCGACGCGCAAGAGGTCGTGATGATGTAGATCAAATGGTCGACTCGCATGTTTTGGCGGCGACAAGCGGTGGAATGACGAGTCAGGCAACGCTGCCAGCTCGCTCAACGATGTCGGCTGATCACGCCGGCACACGTAGGTACCATGCGTAGAGCCTGTATCTGATACAGAGTATCGGATTGGCGCCCGTGCATTGGAATAAATGTTGGCGTGGTGCTTGCTAACTTCCATGGAGGGCAGGCGGAGACGCGGCGTGAAGGTCTTGTCACGCCCAATGCTGATGCCACCATGGCGCCCATCGACGATCGCGACCGACTTGTCGCGTGGCAGCACGTCAGAAGACACCTTGACAAGGCGCAAGAAAGGGTGGGCATCGTGGCACTCGGAGGCCACAGCCGGAGCCTCCATCGCCAATCGCCAGCGCCAAGCCGCACGTCGAGAGCGACGCCGTGCCCCCTTTTTTCGGTACGATCAGATTATATACGCCAGAGGGACGTTTACTAGGAAGGCAAGGTGCCGGAGTGGTTAACGGGTTCGCCTCGAATCTTTCATTCGACGCCGATGACGGCGGTCAGCGAATGGGCTCTGCCCGCACAGGTTCGAATCCTGTTCTTGTCGCTTCTTTTGTAAGGCGCTGTTGTGCTGTCGCAACACTATAGGAGCAAAGCCAGAGCGAAAGCCCCACGAATGGCAAGGTGCCGGAGTGGTTAACGGGTTCGCCTCGAATCTTTCATTCGACGCCGATGACGGCGGTCAGCGAATGGGCTCTGCCCGCACAGGTTCGAGTCCTGTTCTTGTCGGTCTTTTTTGCCGTCCTGGCCTAGGCCCGGCTTTTTTGAAATTTAGAGACGGCGCCTTCGCGTTCAGGAGCCTTGCTGTGCCATCCCCTTCTGTATGCGATCTGTGCGTGTGATCCGCCGTGCCCTATGCTCGCGAGCACCCCCGGTGCCGACGCTGCGGGCGGCAGGCGCTATGCAAAGTGCTGCCTCGCAGTGCAGTGCGGCACGGCTGGCGCACCCTGCGCGCCCGGCGTCGGCTCGCCTTGCGTCTCTGGCGACCCTGCCGCTGCGCCGCACCTACGCCACAGCGACCGAGCTGCCGCTCGCGACTGATGTGCAGGCTAAAGAGGCTGATGTACAGCGACTGCTCCGTCAGCGCAATGTGGGTATTAGCGCGCATATCGACAGTGGCAAGACCACCTTGACGGAGCGCGTGCTGTACTACACGGGCCGCATCAAAGACATCCACGAGGTGCGTGGCCGCGACGAGGTTGGCGCCAAGATGGACAGCATGGACCTGGAGCGTGAGAAGGGTATCACGATTCAGTCCGCTGCGACGTACTGCAACTGGAAGGCGACGCCACCGACAGAGCGGAGCAACATGACAGGCGACGGTGCCGACGATTCGGACTCGACCGCCCGCAAAGAAGATTTCCACATCAACATTATTGACACACCAGGTCACGTCGACTTTACCATTGAGGTCGAGCGTGCGCTGCGTGTGCTGGACGGTGCGGTGCTCGTCCTCTGTGCTGTCTCGGGCGTGCAGTCGCAAACGATGACCGTGGACCGCCAAATGCGTCGCTACTCGGTGCCGCGCCTTTCGTTCATCAACAAGATGGACCGTGCCGGTGCGAACCCCTGGCGTGTGATTGATCAGATTCGCTCCAAGCTGCGTATGCCAGCGGCGGCCGTGCAAGTGCCGATCGGCGCTGAGGACCAATTCGCTGGCGTCGTGGACCTCGTGCGCTGGAAGGCCGTGTACAACGAAGGTACCAAAGGCAACCTTGTGCGTGAAAGCGACGAGATCCCCGCTGAAGTGCTGGAGCTGGCGAAAGCCAAGCGCCAAGAGCTGATCGAGCAACTGTCGGATGTGGACAACGACATGGCTGAGATCTTTATTGAGGAGCGTGAGCCGACGATCGAGGAGCTCGCCGGCGCCCTGCGCCGCGCGACCGTCGAGTGCCGCTTCTCGCCCGTGTTCATGGGCACAGCGATCAAGAACAAGGGTGTGCAGGCCCTGCTGGACGGTATGTGTGCGTACCTCCCGAATCCCATGGAGGTGCCGGCCATTGCCAACGACCTGAACGTCGCCAAGAAGGTAGCTGCCCAAGCAAGTGAGGCAGGCGAGGACACGGGCGCAGTGCAGGCCGCTGCCCAGGCGGGCTCCGAGGTGCGCCTCGTGCCGGCTAGCGAAGCGCCGCTGGTGGGTCTCGCGTTCAAGCTGGAGGAGAGCCGCTTTGGTCAGCTGACGTACATGCGTGTCTACCAAGGCACACTGCGTCGTGGTGGCCTTATTTTCAACTCGCGCACCGGCAAGAAGGTCAAAGTGCCGCGACTCGTTCGAATGCACTCGAACGATATGGAGGATGTGAACGAGATTGGTCCTGGTGAGATCTGTGCCATGTTTGGTGTCGAGTGCTCCTCCGGTGACACGTTTACGGACGGCAGCACGGCACTGTCCATGTCGGCCATGTTTGTGCCTGAGCCCGTCATTTCGCTGTCGCTCACGCCTGAGGGCAAGGATGCCAGTGCCAACTTTTCGCGCGCGCTGAATCGCTTCCAGAAGGAGGACCCGACGTTCCGTGTGCACGTCGATGCCGAATCGGGGGAGACGATCATTTCGGGTATGGGCGAGCTGCATTTGGAGATTTACGTGGAGCGCATGCGCCGTGAATACAACGTGCCGTGCAAGACCGGCAAGCCGCGCGTTGCATTCCGCGAGACGATCACGCAGACGTCCAAATTCAACTACACGCACAAGAAGCAGACGGGTGGTGCCGGTCAGTTTGGTCGCGTCATTGGCTACATTGAGCCGATGCGCCTGGACGAAGAGACCGGCAAGGACACGGCCTTTGAGAACAGTGTGGTTGGTGGCAACATTCCCAGCAGCTATATTCCTGCGTGTGAAAAAGGCTTTAACGATGCGCTCGAGAAGGGTGCGCTCGCAGGCTACCCCGTATGCGGTGTGCGCATGGTGCTCGAGGATGGTGCAGCGCACAGCGTCGACTCGAGTGAACTGGCGTTCCGTCTTGCGACCATCTCTGCGTTCCGCGAAGCGTTCCGCGGCGCTGGTCCTACGATCCTCGAGCCCAAGATGTCGGTCGAAGTCATTGCTCCTGTCGAGTTCCAGGGGGCTGTGATTGGCGCACTCAACCAGCGTAAAGGTACGATTGAGGACACGGAAGTGCGTGAGGACGACTTTACGATTATGGCCGAAGTCTCGCTGAACGACATGTTTGGCTTTTCGAGTCAGCTGCGTGGGCTCACGCAGGGCAAGGGCGAGTTCTCTATGGAGTACAAGAAGCACGAGCCGGTGATGCCCAACGTGCAGGCTGACATGGAGGCGGCCTACCGCAAGAGCCTTGAAAAGAAGTAGTTATTGCCTCTTGTGTAGCGTCACTTGCAGGCGGTCAATCGCACTCCAGCGCTCGGGCAGTGTGGGGTGACTGTGATGGTACGCGCTGTACAGCGGGTCATGGTGCATGGTCGACAGACTGGGATAGTGAGTGGCCTCGCACGTACTTGTGGATCTGCAACTTGACCAGCGCGCGCTTCAGCAGCTCGGGGTACGCCTCGTCGTCCTCTGCGGCATTTTCCCCCAGCTTTTGCATCCAGTCCTGCACTGTCGCGTCCGGCGAGTCTACTCCCTCGGCGAGCTGGCGTCGCGCTTCGCGCTCGGCGGGCGTGGGGCCGGGCCGGGTCATGGTCGCCGCAAAGCTGTGTTAGTCAGGTAGACGTACCGGTCGGCTGCGTACTCAAAGCGACGGATCAGTGCATGGAAAGCAAACTGCACCATGGCATCGGTCGGCTTGAGCACCATGTTGAACAGCTCAAAGCCGACCAGCACCGGCAGGTACGGCGTGCGTGCCACGGCGTGCTTGCCGCCAAAGCCAAAGGCATGGAACAGCGCTGCATTCTTGAAAAAGAGGGTAAACACACTCAGCGTAAGAGTGAGCTGCAGCACGGAAAACGACAGCATCTTGGCCGGGTGCGAGTAGGACCAGTGGCCCAGCTCGTGTGCGAGCACTGCCTCGATCTCGGCTGTGCTGGACTGCTCAATGAGGGTGTCGAAGAGAACAATGTGCTTGCCGCCCCCTGGCATAATCCCGTAAAAGTAGGCGTTCGAGTGGCCACTCCGCCGGCTTCCATCGATCACATACAGGTGCTTCAAGGGGAAGCGCAGCTGCGCAGCAAGTGCGGTAACACGATCACGCAGCTGGCCCTCGGGTAGCGGTGTCAACTTGTTGAACAAAGGCTGGATCAGCGTGGGATAAATCACAGAGGCAAACAGGATGACCACGACGAAGAAGAGCACTGCGTATGCCACAAAGGCATCGCCAGCCCAGCGCACGACCATAACAAACACGGCACACAGCGGCGCACCGAACAACGCACCTAGCGCCTCTTGCTTGGCCGTATCCGCCAAAAACGTCGTCCACGTCAGTTTGTTAAAGCCATGACGTTCTTCCACGACAAAGTGGCTGTACGCACTCGTGGCCATCGTCAGCGGCAGAAGAACGAGAGAGGACACGATCATGTACACCGACGTCACCATGGGCTCACTCGGCGCGGCTACGCCCAGTCGGCCTAGCAGCGCATGCGACATCACCCAAAGGTGCGCATAGCCATTGTATACGACCATGAGCAGCGTCATGGCATGCGAGAGGGCATCAGCAACAAAGCCAAAGAGGGCCTTGTCGCGTCCGTACCGCTGGCTCTTGAGAAAGTCCTCGTAGCCCACATGCTCTACGACGGCTTTGGGCGGCGTCGTGAGGCTGTACAGGCGATGCTGCCGGAGCGCCACGTACGTCTCGAACAAGTACACCACCCACTGCAAGGTCAGAACGACCCGCTTCCATGGTATAGCATCTGTATCGAGGTACGTCTCTGCCGCATGGATGGCATCGGTCGCACGGTACAGTGCGTGCGTCAGCGTCGTCATGGCAGGACCAGCGCCGCGCGGCCAGCGACTATGTGGAGGCTACCAGAACCCATCGTCGTCGTCGCCGCCGCCTCGGGCGCCTTGGCTCGCGACAGCCTGCGCGCGGTACATGCTAGCAACTTGTTCAGGCGACGTGGATGCCTCTGGCGTCTTATCATCGCGGATTCCTTGGGTTAGAGTGGGAACGCACGTAGGAAACGGGGAAATCGTAGGGAAATGCCGCGCGCATCGATCAGGCCGCGCGCTGCTGTGTACACAGGGCTCAGCGACAAGTCGGCGGCCAGTACCTCCCACACGATGCGCGGCTCGAAAAACACCTAGTGTGAGTTTTCGCACGTACGTCTGGCTTGGCCTCGCCCACGTCATAGTACCCCTTTTTTTGCTGGATCTCGAGGGCCTGGAGCGTCGCATGGTGCGACGCGAGGTCTGCTTCCGAGAATCCCGTGCCGATCTTGCAGATGCTCTGGTACGTTTCGCTATCTTCGTCGTCTGTGTTAGTGGATGGACGCACAGCATGCCAACAAAAAGGCGCCATACACATTCGTGCGCTTGCCTTTGCCGTAGTAGCCTCCAATCACGACCAGGTCCAAGCTGTCGCCTGTACCCGACAGGTAATCCTTCTTGAGCTTGAGCCAATTGATGGAGCGCCGACTCGGCTCGTAGGTCGCGTCGCCACCCCGCAGCATCTTGATCATGAGGCCCTCGCATCCGTGTGCAATGCTTTGATCCAGGAACGCCTGGATTTCTTCCGTGGTCGTACAGTCTCGGTGCGTTGCGTAGTCAAACTCATCTCGCACAGGCCGAAAGTGGCTTTGCAGCAGCTCACGCCGTCGCTCAAGCGTCTCGTGCAACAGCG